AACTACCTCCGTCACGAGTTAGTAGGTGTGTGTGTGTGTGTGTGTGTGTGTGTGTGTGTGTGTGTGTGTGTGTGTGTAAACATATGTGTGTATGTAAAGTCAAGCGCCCAATGTTTCCAATCGATGGCGACTCGCCATTCATAAACTTTCAAAAACTCCTCTAGTATTCGTGTACACCCTTGTTCATATTCATTGGTTTGTACGATTGATTTGCATCTATCTATACTTGTTTGAAATACTTTTAACGCTATATATGTACGAGGAAATTCAATAACGTGCGTGTTTGCCTATGACTTTTAAGGGTTTTATATAATACATGATTCATTTAGAGTTATTACCGCATGGTAGGCTTGGAAGTAAAATTGATGTTTTGGCCTTCGTTTTTTATATCACAATGCGCGCCAACCGGACATCTACGAGCCTGTATAGCTCGCTGAATGCAGAATTTTTACGATCTGGTAGCCGAAAACATACCACATATCATTGGTTGATAAATTTTCTGCTTAGGAATTGAGGATACACGGCCCTCTGGACTTTTAAAATTAGGTCCCTGGATGATGATGCGGTTAAAACATTCGGACAAATGACAATTTCACCCCCATTTTTTATACACGAGAGAACTTGCTGTTTGCGAAAATTGATGTTCGACCAGACAATCAGACATTTCCAATTTTCCAGAGGGCCGTGGTCCGTGGTCCGTGGGGTTCAGTTTTAGGAGGCTACATATGTATGCAACAAGAGAAGAACATAAAAATCCTGACCCGCTCTCTCTACTCACTCTAGAGTAGAGTACAGCGAGTCTCTAGTCTCTCTACTATGTACTAAATAGTCTATATAGTCTATACATACTGTCGTGCTCTATAACAATTCTGCCACGACACTTGATTTGATCTTGAGAGTCAGAGACGAAGGACCATGTTTTTATGTTTTAAAATTTTTTTCTTCATGATTTTTATTTTGATTTAAAAAATAATACATTTTTTTTAGTCGCACACAGTGTCCTACAGACTTTAGTCAGTTTATGTATTTATATCTCTCTAGTCTCTACGACACATTTTCTCTAGAGTATTGTCGGAGAGTAGAAAGGGTCATGAGTCATGACAAGTCTCAGTCACACACTCCTGTCCGACAGTCTGACACGACAAGTGACAGGCTATATCCAGAGACTCTCTGTCAGCATTTTTTTATATCTGACACACAGCCTCACAGCCCTCACTGCTCATGCTGGACTGATAAATAAATATGACGCCTGATGGCTAAAACCTGTCACCTGATGGCTGATACCTGATGGTGATGGGCGATGGCTCATGGCTGTCTGACGCTGATAATGAGATAAAACCGGTTCACGGAATAGGAATTCAACAGCAGAGAGACAAGAAGAAGAACACCCCCGTAGTCGTCCAGTCCGAGAACTTTAGGAAGGGGGTTTTTTTTGCTATGATTGTTTTTCTTCTTCTTTTGTTTTACTGAAAAAGTCCTTGAATGTCGCATTTTGACCGAATTTTCGGAAGTATTTAACGGCGCACCCATATGAGGGCGCACCCAACGGAACCCAACGGCGCAACAGGACAGCAACATCTCGTCATCTCCAGAATCCAGAGTATGTATGTATGTACTTATTGTTTTGCAGAAAAACATTGCAGAAAAAAATTACACGAAATCAAAATATCCTCCAGACCTCCACGGACCACGGACCACGGACCACGGACCACGGACCACGGACCACGGACCACGGACCACGGACCACGGATGCTTGCTGTAAATATTTTAGAAAGAAAATACAAATGAATACAAATTGTTGTCTTTTTCAAACAGTACAAACTGAAAAGTAAAAATAGTAAAATACGTACAACAAAAGCACTATTTATTTACAGTCAACAGTTTTATTTACACACTGACACAACAGTCAACAGTGTAAAAATAAATACAGATACACTATGTACAGCACTGCTACATACAGTCACGCGAGGACTCGAGTAGTCGAGTGCCACCGGGCCACTGTACAGTGTACACTGTGCAGTCAGAGTGCAGCACTCAACGGTGTGTATTTAGGACATACCGACATATTCATATGTATGTATTTTTTATATAAGTACATATGTACAGTATTGTACACACTATTTAAAAAAATCTATTTTATTTATTCCCGAGCTCCGGGACCCAAGGGCGAGTCGAGGAAGTCCTGGAGTTTGGAGACCTAGAGATCTGGTGGGCTGGTAGTAAAAAGTATTTTTAAATAAATACTCTCTGTACTCTGTGATACTGTAGACTGTAGAGACTAGTAGTAGAGACTCTACTAGAGGAGAGAGTAGAGAGTACAAAATGAGCGAGATAATTTTGTGATTTTTGGGAATTGTTTTTTATATAACAAAATACTGTTTTTTTAACTATGACTCATTGTGCAAAAGATGCAAAACCGGATTGTCATTATATCAAGTATATTTTTGTATTTCTAATTAACAACCATCAATCACTGGTTACACCGTTACAGTTCTACAGCATAAATAGATAGATTAGAGCTGATAAAAAGCATAGATTAGAGCATTCAATTTTAATCGTGTCGTGCTTTAACGACTTCTTTTTACCTTTTCGTCCATATATAATTATATATATACATATATGTATATTTAATTATAGATTTATGTGTATACGTGTGTATGTGTATATGTATGTGTTTATAGATATATATAAACATGACGAGGTATACCCCTTTGCCAACAGAAGAAGACTTTAGACTGCTCAGGAACAGTAGTATACCGGGAGAAGAAATAGAAATGTCTTTAGAAAAAGACAAGGAAAAAGGAGGGTTTGAAAGCCAACAAGATCCTGATATAGTATTCACGCGGAAAATATCTCAGCTATGGGAACACCCGGTGTGTGAAAGCGGCGATGTGAATCCTATATGTGATAAGCTATTACAGCTGATACTTCGGACTAGAAAACTAGCTGATATGTTGGCCTGATTTTGGTGTTGAATTGCTCGGCAATTTTTTAGTGCATCAGTTGTCTTGCAAGTATGTGCCTATTCGTACACGATATCTCTTACCTTCTCATACCAGTCGTTTCTATCGGTGATTACAAGCGATCACGCCGTTCAACGAACTAAAGCTGACAATTGTAGCAAAAGTTTCGTCAGTCTTCAGTGTATTATTCTTCTCATGTTTACTATATTCGCTCAAACTCATATGTATCTATATTTATGAATATATATATATATATATATATATATATATATATACATATATATTGTGTTGTTGTATATATAGTACTATATATATATATATATATATATATTGTATAGTATATATATATATATATACTATAGTATACGTAGTATATTATTTACGGTTACGGTTTAC